TTTGTTTGTTTTGAATTTCGTGCAAAGCTACACGAGAGCTATCTGCGCTAGCCGTCCCTAATTTAGCAGTGTAAGACTAGAGGGAAGACAGCTAATCATCCCCACCCACCGCCAACTCTTTTACCAACGAATAGTGGGATTGACCGTCACATTATAGCGCCCCCATGGCTGAAAGGGCGAGCATGTTTGGTGTGACGGGGATACGAACCCGCGACCCTCAGATTGCGAGTCGAGCGCCCTAACCACCTGTCCATGCTGGGCCAAAGGGGCATAAGAGGTGAAATGTGGGTATAGCACAATTATAACAGTGATGTCAAAGCGATATGTAACAAATCTTATAGTAAAGATTGGTCCTTTGATTCTTGTAGCAGGACAAATAACACCTAAAATATATCTGGACATTCTAGACGATAACGCCCACCCATCAGAAGTGGATGTTTGTTTCTTTTTCCGAGAAGTAAATAAACATAACGCAACAATTTACCTGACTTGTTCTGTCCGAAATTTGTTGGAAAAGTGCAAGTATTTTCAACCATCTTTTGTTTTTGAGTAGCACACTCACCGAATTTCCATCAAAATGATCACCTTGCAGATGAACTTGAACTTCACATTTCTCAACTTTATCTACTTGCATTTGTGAGCCAATTGCAGAGCATGTTTTCCGACCAATGGGAAACGCTTGAATAAAACGTCTTAGACATTTTCTGGAGTCAATGCCAGACCAAATTTAGGCCATTGTCGAGAAGAAAGAAGGTTTGGCTTCGGTGGAGGTCCTAATAACAATACAACTCAGTAAATTTAAATGAGATTCATTTCCGGTATGTGATAAATAAAGTAAATAATTAAATTTCATAAACATCTTGGTTAAATAATTTAACTCAAATCATATAAAAAATCCATTTTCTAACGTATAAAAAACGCGTTTTAAAAGAACGTAAAGCTTTCAAACCATCAAATAATCTTTGGAGCCTTTTTTAACTGTGGAAAGTAGTATAATGATAAAAAGAGCAGCATTTATTCCGCAATGGAAATACATATACTACTAATACATTCAATTCGCTTATATCACGAACGTACGTCAGCTAGTCCTTAGCAAGTGATCAACTGAGTGGTTTATTATACAGTACACTCAAACTCTCAATTAAAATGTATTGATAATGAGCAAAGGTAAGTACGACAAAAGACTGTACTTATGAAAAGAAGACGAAACTCTTAAGATTGTAATGGACGGGAAACCCCTGTATGAAGATTAGGAGAAACGCTAACTAAGCATATCTAAAACTCTTACAGCAATATTTAAGAACATGAACACAGAGCTAAATATACCTTCCAATGATTGTTTTGATAAAAGGAATTCTATGTTTTTCAGATTTTCTTAATAATTTAACGTCTCAGTGCAAACTGTTAAAAATTACAAAATAAACCAATAATTTCACGAATACGAATATTTATTCTAAGGTTGGGCATAAAAACATTGCATTAAGCAAAGAAAAAACACATTAGAAAAGTTAGTGTAGACTTAAATTGGAAAAGGAATTTATTTCATTTCGAGAATGCTTAATTCTGCCAGTTGAAGAATTATGAAAAGTTTATAAAAAAAATTTCAACGTAAATCTACAATTAGAAAATTGTTTGTCTAACCGTGTAATTAGACAATATTTTGCGATTTTTTCAAAGCTTTTATTGAAATACACTAGTTCGTTTGTTGAAAAATACAAAGTTGTACAATAGGCTATCTGTGCTGTGCTCACTGCACAAATCGAATCCGGAATTTTAGCATTTTAAGCCCTCATACTATAGCTGAGCAACAGAGGTAGCTGAAATATAATATTAATAACTTATATCACAGCTTACTCTAACCAAATTTAATTTATTAGAAACTCTAGCCACATTTACTTTATTAGAAAAATATCAATTCATAAAAACTCATTGAGTAGCAAGTTTCATTTTTTACTTAACTTCAAAAAATTAAAGGCCGCCAAACATATTACTGATATTCTTTAAAATTGTCCAACGAAAAACTTCATCGTGGTTTTCTATTAGCTGTTCACAAATTAGATATAAAAATAATATGTGAAGCGAAACAGAGAACCTCATTCACATGTTTTGTATTCACAAAGTACATTTCAACTTGGAGAACAAAAACACCTAACACTCACGACTTGAAAATAAATATTAAATATTCTTAAGACGTTTATTTGGAAAATATACACTAACGAAAGTAACTGAATTTATCAAAATTACCAGCAGTAGAGTTAAATTTTTCACTCATTAAATGTTGCTCAGTTAAATACTTTAGTGGCGTTTATGTAAGCAGTTACAAAATAAATATCTCACATAACCTAACAAGTTTTGTAATGAAAGTAAAGTTGATTAGTACTGAACTAATTTGTTTTGTTCATATATAGTTGCATCCGTACTGAATAACGAAAGTTTAATGTTTATTGTTTATGATATTCGGTTTTTTCAACCAAAGCAGAACATTTTAATTGAAATTTTGAGTGTACTGTATAATAATATATATATATATGGATACAGACTTAAGTTGAGAAATATTATTAACTTTTAATAATTCTTCAACTGGCAAAATTAAGCATCTTGAAACGAAATATATCCCTTTTTCAATTTAAATCTACACTACCTTTTTATTGGGTTTTTTCTTTGCTTAATGCAACGTTTTTATGCTCAACTTTAGAATAAATATTCATATTCATGAAATGATTGGTTTATTTTGCAGACAAAAAAATATAGATATATCTATCGTGTATAATATATTCAGAATTTCACTGTTTGTTCTATATCTTTACAGTGAATGATTTAAGCAAAAATTCACAAAAGTATTTAAGTTCAATTAGAGTAAATATATATTTTATGCAATTAAAATAAAAAATGTAACTCATTCAAATAAAATCATCATGTAATTACAATAAAATCATCATGTAGATATTTCATGTACGTACATTGATTCGTTTAACGATATAGTGGCGTATTAAAAGGTCGAAGATTCGAAACGTCATGCCGCACGTTCATTTGTGGGTGCGTTAAAAAAGTGACAAGAAATCCAGTTATTCGGTTCAAAGTACCAGACAAAGCACTTTTAAGTGGGTATTATTGGTTATATACCACAAAGTAATAGACGGCTACTCCTGAATCCTTGGAATCGTAGACTTTGGTTGACAACTACAGCATATATATTAATATTTGTAAAAATATTTGTGGATAATTTTAATGATGAGTCACTCTATAGTACCTAGGTGCGCATGAAAAAACCTGAAATGAGGGAACGACGTAGTATGGTGAGACGCTGCACTTGGATTGGTAGTTGCCTTTAATAACTGGCGTTCGAATCCCACTTCCATATACCATATTAAACTGTTTTATATCTGTTATAAAATAGAAAGAAATAAGCGTTGAAAGAGTAGGTAAAGATACTGTTGTTTTTTTTGATCGTTTCCAATACCAAAGTCAGAATGCTTAAGTAGACTAATGCAGCGTGTATTTCTACAATAATTGTAGTAAACATAATTTTACAGGCGCATCTCTTTATTGAGTTGTATTTTCACTTGCTATCGGTACTCCCTATAGCTCTAAATCTTCGATGTTAACATCAGGGCTGTGGTGGATGCCTAAAAATAACTAACTATGCGGAAACAAGGGCAATTATCAGATTCCTCAGGACCCAGAATAAGAGGGAAAAAGAATCAAGGGCGATTGTTAGATTTCTCAGGACCCAGGATAATAGGGGAAAAGCTTTAGTTGAAAAACTGTATATCAGAAACAATAAACATTAAAATTTCGTTATTTATGACTTATGATTACAGGGGTATTATTTATTTATGTGAATATATCATTCCATACCGATAATTGTTTTCAGTCATTTGGATGTCAATACACTTCTGAGTCACTCAGTATAGATAATTCATATAAATATTGACTGAGTTGTTATGTAATGACTGAAATATAGAATAAACTTTTGAAATATATATATATATATATAATGCTCAATTCACAACCAAGTTTGAACGTCAAAACATTATTGCTATTCTTCAAAAGTAACTCATCATATATGAATACTCGTCATTATGTAAAGTTACCTAACATTATTGTATTCTCCAAAAATAACTCACCATATATGAATACTCATCATTATGTAAAGTTACTTACCAGTGTTGCTATTCTCCTGAAATAATTCACCATATATGAATACTCGTCATTATGTAAAGTTGCATAACATTATCGTATTCTCCAAAAATAACTCACTGTATATAAATACTCGTCATTATGCGTGGTTACTCAGTACAAGTATAATATTCAGGCAATAAAAGGTTTGAAGGTTAGCCCAGTTATGAAAATATTGTTTTAAAGCTTAAGATCTTTTTGACCCACCATGGCCAGGGGTTTAGGGCACTCGACTCGCAATCTACAGGTCGCGGGTTCGAATCCCCGTCACACCAAACATGCTCGCTCTTTCAGCCGTGGGGGCGTTATAATGTGACGGTCAATCCTACTATTCGTTGGTAAAAGAGTAGCCCAAGAGTTGGCGGTGGGCGGTGATGACTAGCTATCTTCCCTCTAGCCTTACACTGCTAAATTAGGGACGGCTAGCGCAGATAGCCCTCGTGTGTCTTTGCGCGAAATCCATAACAAACAAACTTAAGATCTTTTAATATAATGAATTTGTTTAGGTAACACATTCGCTACTTCAGCGTCATATTCAAAAGTTATAATAATGACGACTTAATTGTGGTGGTTAAAGGTTAATTTGTATGTTTATACCGTGAAGATAAAGTCATAATACAAAGTCTGACTTCGCTGCCACCACGTTCCAACAAAGTATCCAGCTTTCTTGCAGATTTCTACTAGAGCAAAGCTACTTGACACTCGATAAAAGGACAAGCGGGGACATCAAAGTTTAAAACTAACGTTCTTAATCTCAGAAGAAAATAACTGTCTACTTTTTAAATGAAGATGTTTTGAAAGTCTTCGGGAAGAATACTTACCTTAATTTAATTCATTATTAAGAAAAGAATTATTCCTCATCAGCAACGCCAGTGTTTCGAGTCTTGTTGTTACAGTTTTGAACAGCAATGCTACATCCGCAAGGAATTTGTCTCACACGACGGTTGTGCCATCTAGAGGGCTGTAGAAGGAACTCTTTATAAAGAGTGAACTGAACTTCCCATAAAATTACGACGTACCAGCTGAAGGTGAGAGTATGATAACAAACAAACAAACCTTTTCTATCTTGTTAGAAGTCAGGACATAAAGTTTTAGAACAAACATGTTTTTAGAAGTGCAAATGCTTTAGAATTTAGTGGAAGAGGAAAAAACATGATACTTTTTACCGGGTATTATTTCCCTGTGATTCAAAAAATAAGTTTTGTTGCTTAAATGTTGAATTACTGTAAACATTTTCCCAATTCTCTAACGGAAACATATTTTTTAGGTTTACTTGGAATTATTGTAAACACTTTCTCTATTTTCTAACAAGAACATACTTTTTAGGTTTACTTTCATTATTGTAAACATTTTCTCTATTTTCTAATAGAAATATATTTTTTAGGGCTACTTTCAATTACTGCAAACATTTTCCCTATTCTCTAACAGAAACATACTGTTGCGTCAGCGAGTCACATGACTAGTGTGACGCCACGTTT